ATAAGGACTCAAATGGTCTTTCTTTCTTGCTATTGTTTCTAACATATTTATAAGGTGATTTCTTTGTTGCTTTATATGTCCCTCCCCCACAGTTTTCACTGTATTTGATGCTGGTATAATTTGTGGAGGGGAAGGAAAAACAAAACAATTGTTTAAATAGGGATACATGTGGATCTTTTGCAACAATGAGATGTACAAGTTGGTATGTCCAAACATGAACTTTACAACTTTGGTTCAGGGAGGGGGGGTGGGATATGAAGGGATGGGAAGGGGAAACAAAGGAGGAGGCAACAATGTACTCATTACTTTGTTCATGTAATTGTAACCCCTCTGTACTATATTTTCACAATTAAAACAAAACAAAACAAAACAAAAAAAGAATCTAAACCCTATCATTCGTGTGTGTGTGTGTGTGTGTGTGTGTTTGTGAGTGAGTGGTATAGGGATTTGGACCCAGGCCTTGACTTTGCCAGGAAGGTGTTCAATTACTTGCTTTTTTGCTTCAGTTATTTTTTGGACGCATTCTTGAATTTCTGGCTTTCCAGGGTGTTTTTCTACCTATCTACCACCTATGCTTCCATTACCTGAGATTATACCAGGAAATCAACATGCTGTTTTCTTTATTAAGGTAAGGTCCAGATTTGCTTTGGCTTGCTGCAGTCCAATCTTTCAGATACCTGGATTACAGGATCTCCCACTAAGCCCAGACCATTATCATTTAAATTTTCCCTCACATATTTTGAATATTTTGAATTTCATTTCTCTGCAGAAAGTAACTTGGGCTGCAATCAAGTGACTGATGTCTGGAAGATTTCATAGGAGAAAACGAAAATGTGTCTTCAAAGTACTACACACAGGGTTGTATGTAGTAAGTCTTTGCTTTGTTAATGAATGACGGATTCACATCTTTGTGATAGATTTACTTCTGGACATATGCGCATGTTCGGTTGTTGAGAATTCATCAAGTTGTGTACGATTTAAGTCTTCCTACTCACTTTTGATAAGAACTGTTCCTTTATCGATAGGTTATGAGCAGAGTACAAGAATGTTCGCAAAGGAAAGAAGGTGGGTGCCTGACCAGATTCTGTTGTCTGCAAAGCCAGGGAGCTCTGGCCAGGTCTCAACATCTGAACATTGTATCCTATCAGTCTCTTTGCTTTTCTCCTGTTGAGCAGTGACGCCCGTGTTCACAGTGACCATGTGTGTGTGAGCAGGGCCCTTGGTTCACATGGCGTCCGCTGGCCAGGTCAAGGGCCGCTGGCACTGGTGCGGGCAAGGAGCCGCCTCAGAGCACCCCGCCCCCCCCCAAGTCTTCTCCGCGAGGAGTCCTGGGAAGTGAAAGCACTGCCCTCTATCCATGAACCCTAACCTCACATGCCTGCCGAGGAGCACAGGGCTCAATGTGCCTGAGGGGCAGGGCAGAGGAGACTCCGGGAACCCCAGGCTCTTGGACAAGGCAGAGCTTGTGGGCCAGCCAGCTTCCCACAGCTAGTCAGGTCAGCGGTAACTAAACAGATAGGCACACCAGAGAAAAGAATACACATTGCCTGCATGGAAGGACACAACGGAGGCTGCCAGGGGCAGGGCAGTGGAACCCCCGGCCCTCTGTGCACCTTTAGAATGAATGAAGGCTCAAGGAGCTGCAGCACTAGGGAGTCAGCCCCACTGAGGGCCAGCCCCACCCAGGGTCAGCCCGGTCCAGATCAGCACCGCCCAGGGGGGTCAGCCCCGCCCAGGGTCCGCTCCACCCAGGGGGAGTCAGGACTGCCCAGGGTCAGCCCCACCAAGGGGGAGTCAGCCTAGCCCAGGGTCAGCCCCGCCCAGGGGGAGTCAGGACTGCCCAGGAGGAGTCAGGCCCTCTCAAAGGAGTCATCTGCTCACTTTGAGTTCTAAGTAAGGTTCAGACAGGCTGAGTGTAAGAATCTAGTTAAAGCCAGGCTCCCACATCAACCCCCATATATGCCTCAACCTTGTATACATAAGCAGTGCAGAGCCCAACCTACAAACATAACAGATTCCTCCGACCTGCGAAATGAGGAACTCCACTCCCCACTGGTACTGACCTGGTATTGGGCCTGGTACTGACCGCAGCAGTGAAGCACAGTTTGCAATAAGAAACTGCCTACCAGATCATCAGGAGACTAAAGGTCCCTCAAGCAAACTGAAGAACTTATGTTTTTGTCTTCTTAGGTTTCTTTTCTTTGATATTCTGCTAAGTCCTAGATATTCAGTCTAAGGTGATTAGCAGGTCTCTTTCTTAGTGTGTGCATACTTAATTCTGGCTATATTTTTGATTGCTCAAATTTCTATTTCTCCATTTATTAATTTATGTTTTTTTCTTAATTTTTTTTTAAAATTTTAGGTCTTTTCTTCCTTTGGTATCTTTCCTTTTCATTAAACCTCTATGCTTATTTGCTTCTCCCTTTATTTTTTATATCTCTTTCTATTTCTTTTAATTTCACTTTAACTTGTTTTCCTTTATTTATTCCTTTACTTATTCTTCCCTTTCTTCCTTTTCTTTAATCCATTAATCACTAATTGTGAGGTAGACTGAATTTGCTTCCATTTTGACTCTAATTGACTCATCTAGTTATCTTTTTTATTTGGTTTATCACTAACAAAAGACTTGCTCACTGGCTTCAGCTATATATATAATATATATATTATATCTATACACATACATACATATATATTATCTCCTTTCTTGCACCCCAATCCTCAAAGAAAAGTGAAGAAATATTTATATAGAGGAATACTATATATGATTTAAAACCTCTGATTTATAGTTTGTGCAATTCTAAGGCTCTGGGTTGGTTTTTTACTTTAAATTGGGTTCTGTTGTGGTATTAGATTTCCTTTTGTTTCCAAATGGGCAGCACAAATCATAAAACCACAAGAAAAATGGCCAAGTCAGGGAACCTCAACTCCTACACAAAATAACAAGGCAACAAGAGAAGTCAATGAAAGATCTAGAAGATGGTTCTCAACATGCTTTTAAAACACTGCTGAAAAATATGTTGAATAAAAAGACAGAAAGCTTGCCCAAGGGTAAGTTTAAGCTTATGATGAGACTGACCAAAGATTATTAGAGGAATTCATGGAATCCACAAACAAATCTAAATGAATTCTGAGAAGCAAAGTAAGTCCAATAGTCACTCAGCTAAAGGATATGAGAGAAGACACAGAAAATCAAATCAAAATCTTTACTAGCCATGCATCAAACAAGAGCTGCCTATCTAAAATACACTTAGAACTCAAAAACTCACCCTCCCCACCAAGAAAAAATATTCAAAGAAACAACAACCCCATTAACATGTGGGCTAAAAACTTAAAGAGAGACTTCTCAGAAGAAGAAATAAGAAAGGCCAATAGACCGGTGAAGAGATGTTCAACATTCCTGCCACAAAGTGAATACAAATTAAAACAACATTGAGAATGGCCATTATCAAGAAACCTAAACATAACAAATACTGGTGGGGATGTGACTGAAAAAGAATGCACTACACTGTTAGTGGGAACATAAACTTGTTCAACCACTCTGGAAAGCAGTGTGGAGATTCCTCAAAAGATTAAACAGAGAACTACACATGACCTTAATCCCACTTTTGGGCATTTACCCAAATGACCACAAACAAGGTCACACTATAGCTACCAGCACAACCATGTTCACTGAAGTATTGCTTACCATAGTTAAGATATGGAATGAATCAAAACAGATTCCCCAAAGTAGATAAATGGATCAGGAATATATATACAAAATAGAATTCAACTCATCCATTAGAAAGAATGATATTGTACTGCTTTTAAGGAAATGGAAAAAACTTGGAAAAAATTATATTAAGCCAAGTAAGCCAGACCCAGAGAAATATAAATTGCCTGGTTTCCCTCATTTTTGGTAACTTGGATGTGTAACTATAAATCTACAAGTAAACACAATAGATGGTTAAAAAAAAGTAAATACATTGTGTCATAATAGATTATACCATTCACACACAATGACTGATACCAAAAAAGGATATTCCTGAGAGAGGATCACAAAGACTCAAGAGATATGTGCATTTGATTATATAAGATAACATTTAGCAAAATGGACTCCAGGAAATTGAAACAAAAGATTCTTTTCATTATTGCCGCTTTTGTTTCCTTTTCCTTTTGTGTTACTTTTTTCTCTATTTGTCTTGAGGAGGGGAATACAGAAATGGTGAGAGAAAAGGTTAACAATTACAGCCCTGATATTCTCTAGACATTATGTTGAAAATGAACTTACAGCAGTGATACTCACTAGACACTAGGTTGAAAATGAACTACATAGTTTTTGGGTGGGGACTGGAGGGAAAAACAGAGAGAATAAGGGAAAGAGTGACATTTTCCAAAAAGAAATACACTTGTTAGAACTTTGACAAGACATTCGCAATTTAGATACTTTTTCTTGTTTGTCTCAATTTCAAAGATATACATGAAATTCAGTAATTCAAATTAAGAAGAAATATTCTATTTAAGATAGTGATGACTATTACTTACTTGTGACCCATCTCATGAGCAATTGTAAATGCAAGATTCAGGCCATTGTCTTCAGCAATAATACATTTCCGCTTTTCACTACATATTCCATTCAAGTAAGCTATACCTAAAAAAACACCAATATTAATTACCATAGGTCTCATGGAAATGATGATACTTATACAAGGTATTAATAGTCAAAATGACAGTTTAGGTGTTTCCTTTCAAATATACCAATATTAAACTGTGAAATCTAGACTATATAACTATAATTTGAGAAGAAATGTATAAATAAATCAGTAATCCAATAGTATAATTTTCAATTTCATAGTTTAGGTAAAATTGTTTTGAGTGTCATTCAAATCACAAAATGTATACTAAAACAATATAGCACAATGTAACTCTACATTGTTATATAAGCTAAATAAGCCATCATTCCTTAGAAAATGTTATTAGTATTTAAATATTACATTAAATAAATTCAAATATTCACAAAGTTCAATGGTAAACATTTAAACATTAAATAAATATAATATTTTTGCATTCTTGGTATCTTAATTTCAGAGAGACATCAAAAATGAAAATAAGTAACATAAAAAGTTTTGATCAAGGGTTGGGAAGGTAGTTCAGTGGTAGAGTGCTTGCCTTGCATGCATGAGGCACTGGGTTCGGTTCCTAAGCACTATGTAAGCAGAAAAAGCCAGAAGTGGTGCTGTGGCTCAAGTGGTAGAGCGCTAGCCTTGAGCTGAAGAACTGAGGGACAGCACCCAGGCCCAGAGTTCAGGCCCCACAAGCAAAAAAATAAATAAATAAAATAAAATAAAAAGTTTTAACCATATTATTTGTATTTTGAGTTAATAAAATTATGAAATTTTGTCTTTCAATATAGTAGTTTGACTAATATCATTATGAAACTAGCTACCATATTTGAATACTTGAAAAGATTTCCACTGAGAATGACTTATTTTGCTATTAGATATGTTGTCTATAGAGCTCTAGATATATATAATAATAAAATATTCTTTAAGATGAAAATTCCCAGGAAGGTACTTCACTTTTGGATTATTTAAATATTTAAAATGAAATAATTTATGATTTTAACATTTTATTAGAAAAATGTATTCTGTTAATAGGGAACTGAAATTTCCTTGAGAATTTGAAAAGAGAAGGAATTAACTAGTATGTTAATGATGGATGATTGGTTCCAATTTTCAGACAGAACTTCTAAATATTTTGCCACAATGAAAATTGTACATTACCATATTCAGCTTTAACCATCAACTCATAAGGGTTATATATCATACACAGATTGTCACACAAATTAGTAATTCCCAATTTAGGTACTTTAGTAAATTCATATTTCTTCTGCTGTATTTCTTAAGATATCATCTTTTCCTCACATAAAATTTGTTGCTTTCCAGGAGCTCTTAGCTTTCTACACATTTCTAGTCTCACACTGGCTAGGATTTCCAAACTAATTTTGAAATATATGGTGGTACTGGGATCTCATTTAATTCTAACTTTAAAATTAATAACTACAGATTCATAGGTGCATATGATATTTCTGTACAATTAAAGGCAGTTAGTTTCTGATATACTTTATGTGTAAGTGAAAAAGGAGGCAATATCATCTGGTGCATGTGTCAAAGGTGAATGGAAGTTGGACAATGTTCACTTGAAAATAATGGAAAAGGGGGGGGGAACCAAGATGGTGACGGGGCAGTAGGGAAACGCCACAGCTCTCTCCAACCAAAAAGAGAGTTCAAGTTCCAACGCTTAATCTCCCCAAGAGACCGACAACAACAAAAAGACAAACACTCAGAGAAAAACCAGAGGTGGAAAATAACAAAAAAAGAAAGAGAGAAAAAGAAGAATTTCAGAACAGAGAAGAGCGAAGACCCCTCCCCCAACCTTTACTGGCCGCGCAGCAGTGCGCCAAGCCGCCGGCCAGCCGGCCGGGGGGGTGGGGGCTGCCAGAGCCCCAGAGACACAGGGGGCCGCTTGCAGATCACCAGGTACCGGTTCGCAGAACAGTGGATAGCCAGGAACAGAGAAACCTACCAGCCAGGATTCTCCACGAGGATCCCACCCCCACCCCTCACTCTCCACCGGAGCGGAGAGGCTCCATCCCGCCAAAGCCGCTGGACACCAGCAGCGAGACAAAGGAACCTGTCAGCAGACCACCCACCAGATCGCGATCTCAACGACCCGGCGGGGGCCGCCCAACCCAGCCCGCAACCACCCCAACTGAACTCGGATTGCAACAACAAGCGATGACCTACACCACACAGAAACAACCAGCGCCAGGGTGAGTACTTCACAGGGGACTGTGAGCTGGAGGTAATCCCCAGACCCTGACCTAGACTCCCTACCCCAACACCCGGACCACAGGACCCACTAAAACTGGGAACTGTTCGAGAGCTCCACCAGCTGGTGGAGCACACTCTGCTGGCCAGGCCAGAGCAAGAGTGCCCCTGGAAGGGAGCTTAAATGCCCAAGCCAAGAACAGCGCCCCTGGGTCAAGACTACCAACAGTAGAAGAAATTTGAACTGCGTCCCCCAGGCTGCATAACCTAGGTGGTATACACAGCAGCACAGGCCTAAGGAGCCCGCTCCAGGCTGCATAACTTAGGTGGTATACACACCAGTACAGGCCTAACAAGCGCTCCAGGCTGGGGCCGGAACCAGGCCTGGGGATCCAGCACCTGAACAACACAACCAACTCCTCCCAACTGAAGTAAAAAGCTGAGCATATGCCTCAACAGAGGGGAGAAAACCAGGAAACAACACTCCCCGGGAAGCACGCCTGTGACAACAAAAGACC